TGTATTTCTTAGGTATTGGATCATAAAAAAAAGCTGACTAACACACAGGTTAATGTTCATGTGAATTGTATCATGACTATCATCTTTGTGCAAGGATAATCAGATGTGCTCAAATACTTGGCATTTCAAATAGTGCCACTCTCTGAAAATTAAAAATTTGGGCATTGACCGCTGAGAGAGTACATCTAGAAAGAAGTACATTCATTGTGAAGAACCATGTATATTTTATTGTTAAAGCATCTTATTAACTTTTAAGACAGTTTGTTTCCTCTGTGTAAGAGTTTTTTTTTATGTCTTGTACTCTACTTTTCAATTATGATACACAGTGTACTAATTATTATTTTTATGGAATTTTGTATTATTTTTTCATAAAATGAAAAAGACAGGAAAGGAAGATATTAGTGGTAAATTTAGATGGAAATTTATTTATGTCATTTCATATTTTATCATTGGATAAATATAACCTTTTATTGGTAAATTTTTATGTAGGAAGAAATGTTATCATTTGCACCAGGTTGGAAATTTAATGTACTTTCAGAGATCTAATGGAGACATGCTAATTGATGAAGGTATTTCTTATTATTTTAAATGGAGAAAAAAATGATACAGAATTTTAAATCTAGGTGATAAGAAATTAACAATGGATAGTATATTGCACATTGTTATATTCAAAGTAGTTGCTCAGATTGCCAGTTATAGGCATGCAAAATGGATCAAACAATATAAGCACTAACAAGTTGTTCCTTTCTATGAACAAATAGAAATTAGTAGTACAATTATTTTAGCTATACTGTATCTATATATATACATTGGTAAAGGTTAACAATGTACAAATACGAAAACATTTTATTACTTTTTCAAAAAAATAAAGAAAAATGAAGAGATTTCAGTCTTTTTGCTTGATTCATGTTTCAAGTGTAGTATATTATTTTATGAAGGAAAACATATGTTTATATCCCTAAAAGACAATGAAGAATTTATAAGAAAGCCATATGTGGTACAACTATTAAATTATATTCCAAATACAACTGATCAACAACAGAATGCCATATTTTTAAAAAATGCAATGTGTTGTAAAGGAGCTGTGTAATACCTTTCTATTATTAGCCATTTTAATAGTTTAATGACTAAAATTAAGGTGTAGTTTGATCATTTATCTCTTAACACAGCTGACGTACACACGTCTTACTGAGTCAGATATGTCTTAGTAACGCTGCTGAGATGAGTGCTCCTGATTAGTGCATGCAACACATGTGGTTTGGGAGGAAGAAGATCAGACCCATGGATGCAGGCCTAATATGATATTAGGTTAAATGATCATAAAATTGACTCAGAAAACAATATATGAGAACTATTTTTAGTAGTCCCTAATAGAATGGTATCTGGATACAGAATAAGGATTCACTTCAAATTTAAGCACATGAGCTAAGATTTGTGAAAAAGGCAAACGTCTGGCATAAGGCTCTGTCTGTTGCCCTACTGTAGGTCAGGATAACCCTTATGAGGGTGAGTCCTCTTTGCTTGCTAATAAAATGCCTTCCTGTTACCCACAGCTTTGTCCAGCACATCTCCCTTGACCTCTGCACTGCTGAAGAGAGGGAGTCACTGATGTGAGTCTGACATCCATTTCCGGATCTCCTCCAGGTCCTCCAAATGGCGTTGCAGTGCCTGAGCCACACTCCGCAGCTCTTCAGCATACTCTGATTTTGCCCCCTCTTGCAAATGCTTTGAGTTTTTTTCAAGATCGATCATGTCTTTCACAACGAAGCAAATGTTGACAACTCTGAGGAGGGTCCGTGCTATGCTCCTTACCCGAAGTAAGGGTCTAATGGCCGTGTTTGCCTGATTACCACTTTCAAGCAAGATATTTTCAATCATCATGTCATATTGGGCATTGATTATTAAGTCATGGTCACCTTTAGCCTGTTTGATGGAACCTATGAGCTTCCCAATGTCATTCAGGTATTGGCTCCAATTTTCAGTTGAAGAAATGACTTTGAGTGGGAAATTACCTACTTCCTGTATGAACATTTTCAGTTTGCCCATGATGTTTGACACCAACCTTTTAGCTTCATCTGCAGTTGAACATGTGTTTGAGAATTCCACTATGTTAGTAGAAACACTGGTCACACCACTCGCTACTCCCAGTGCTATTCCTCCTCTTGAGAGAACCCTACTAACACCTGCTGCGAGGGATGCCAGAGCAAAACCAAGGGTGTCTAGGACTGCAGAGGCAGCTGAAGTGGATCCAGCCACCACATTGGAGACGGTACAGCCCCAGTGCACCTGATCAAGCTGGTCTGCAAGTGCACAAAGCTTTCCTATGTCTTGTTCACCTTCCTCTTTCAGCTTTGGAAATGCAGCCAAAAACCTCTCCTTAGCCTGCTGGACTTTTTGGAGCCTGTCTTTGTCCTCCACAGCTGTGTGTGCTGTGTGCTTCTTCAGAGCTTCACGTAGTTCATCTGCTTCTTCACTGTACAGCAAATATCAAGTGATTAAGAAAGGCATGTGCTTCATCTGTGAAATGGGCTCCATCAGATTGATTATGCATAAATCATAGAGCATTGATTATAAATCAAATGGAAAGGAATGTTACAGATTTACAGAACTTTTTCTTCAAATGCAAACATGTTTGGCACATCACAGATGCTCTTTGGTTGTTAGTCAATAACCTTCTCACTCAAGGTCAGTGGCATCACTATCAAAATTTTTTAGAGCTCAAACATTGTAGGTGAACAAAGGTAGTGGGACTGGAGAGGAAAAAATCCCCGTAATTCAGAGAAGCTTGTGTAGTGTGTAGTGAAGAATTAATCCCACTCAAGAATAAGCCTTTCTTTTGCCCTCAGCTATTGGAAAATCGGCCCTTGAAAGGTCTTACCTGCTAGAAGTGCATATGTTTGCTTGGGATTTGACCACAAGACAATACAGGTTGAACA